AGGCGGAAGTAGTGATGGGCGCAGCGATTGCGTGATCCATACTCTCAAGGTCAACTGGAGGCAGGGAATTTTCCACTTTTAACGCTCTCCCTGGCGTGTATGAGCACATGAGCACAGAATCTGACATGGGCAATAAAGCAACTTATCTCGTCTACCTGAAAGGCACACCAGCGTTCCCTAAAGCCAAATGCACGGCTCATCGTGGGGGTTCAGCTTCATCATGGGAACAGAGTCTGTTCCTTTTCCCTTTTTCGGAAAATATGCAAATAATGCAACTAGCAGCGAAGGGGAAGGGAAACAACGAAAAGGAGAAGATAAGAGGTAACAAAAAGCACATGAGAGCTCTATGAAGGGAAACAGCTTTGAGAAAACGCAAAAGGAGATGAGATTTGAGACCGACGAGCTCCCGTTCCTACTCCTCATGCTCACAGAATAACTCGACTATTTCTCAACATGGGCCGAGAGGCAATAAAAGAGGCTCCATTACGAAATATCTGCAGCGTTGAGCGTTCAGTGCTGTCGCTAGTGACATCGTCCAAAGGTTAAAATCGTGTTTTTCCGCGAGGCCAGTCGTTGATTTGCAAAATTGGCGTCATTCAGCGTCGAACGAAATTATGAGGAAAACGCCCTTCAATATTTCAAAATCGCCAGAAATCCAATTTGAAATGCAATATTCGTGTTGCATTTTCTAGTATTCTGAAGAGAATGTTGCCAGCATAGCGTTCGTCGTTCATAACCGCCTTCGGATGAAGACGTTTCAGTGTTAAACTTTTTATTATATGGACCTAGTGAGAAGATTATCGACCACATATTCTTAAAGCTAACGGCTTTGAAGAATTTGGTCGTGATCGACCCATTTTGGGATACGCCACGCATTAGATTTCCATTTGGGATCTGAGTAGCACTGGAACACAATTTCCATAGAAATACAAACACAAATTAGTAGAAAAATTACAAAGCCACACACATTTGTAGGAGTTTAGCCAATGGCCCGTCTTGGGTTTTCATTTGTCCAGATGAACCCGCTTATTACCATAAATGTAACAGACTCCGTTCCGTACTGTTCGAACGAGGGGGTCGCATTTACGATTTTAGGAAAGGGAGGTCGCATTATGGGGTTGAAAAGTTAACTACCTTGGGAAAAGTGTGATGTTAAAGAGCTAAGGTGTAAATGTTGTCAAAAAAGGAGTTGTATTGACGGGTTTTTCGACAAGCTTGGTGAAATTTTCATGGAAATGGGGTAATTAGAGACAGAAATTAGTAGATTTGTCACTTCATGTCAACTTATTCCCCCCTATACACTGTAAAAACAGCCATCGATGGTGGGGGCTTGTCGGGTAGGGGTATCGTATTGGCTTATGAATGTGGGGGAGGGGGTGTAGCAACGATACCCCTAAGGGGGGGAGGTCGCAAATTTTTGGAAAGTGCGAAACGCGAATCGGCTGATTCCTGCCCGTAAGAACGATTGACGCCCAGGACGAGGTTCTATGAGGATTCGTTCAAAAATGTAATGCATGTTGTTATCAATCTACGCTTTAACCCGTTCGCTATGAAAAAGTGTTCGTGTTTCGATCATAACCCGATTCCCGTTAGACACATTCATTATTCAACGACGCAGAAATTTGTCCAGATGGAATATCAAACTAATTGGTCCGATGATTTGTAACGAAGATCGAAATAATGGAGCAGCCTGAAGAGAGTCAATCATGTCAAACGCGAAATGTAACATGCTTTCGTGAACATAATTATCTTCCCTTCTTTGCATCATCTTTTTATAAGACGTTTCGAGTAGTCGGCTTGGCGAAAATGCAGATTTTCATTAGCGCCTAGGATGGCGGAATCCATCGCCTCGAAGTTGCACCAGAAACTACCGTTGCACAGATTAAGAAGGACCTAGGAGCTAATGAGCACATTCTCTCTTATGGCAGCTCCATTCTGTAAGATTCGTCGAGTCTTTCGAGCCTTGACATTTCTGATGGAGTCTCGCTCGCTATAAATGCTAGACTTCTCGGAGGTAAGGTCCACGGATCTTTGGCTCGTGCAGGAAAAGTGCGTGCTCTTACACCAAAGGTTGAGAAACAGGAGAAAAAGAAGAAGAAGAAGGGACGTGCGGCACGAAAACGAATTCAATACACGAGAAGATTCGCCAATGTTGCGACTGGACCAGGGAAGGAAGCGTGGACCCAACTCCAATGCTGCTTAATCTGTTTGCTGTTGATAAAGAAATCAAATATTTCCCATCTAGAAGTGAAACCAGGAGACCATCGGCTTGACAGATGAAGGGATTATCTCGACCAGGGTCCGTAGTGGAGAGGATACGCCACGCAGCGACAATACTGCATATCAATATTCAGCAACCTTCGAAGGTGTGCGCCGTGCAGTGAGTTAAGGGGACTGAACAATTTTTTTTTCCATTTGGTAAGGAAGGGTGGCCAGGGAGCCCATTTTTAATTTTCGATAGCTTTGTTTGTTCCTGTTGTCAAACTTTAGACAAGATCATGAAGGAGGAAGTCAATACGAATGTATGCTATACGCAACTTTTGTTATCGATAATCTGGCTATAAATGCAACTTCTTTCAGACTACAGTGCAGCATAAGCTGTTCTAAAGCCTTATAATTGGTCGCAGATGTTGGGTGTCCGCGATGGTGTGGCCGTTCAGTGTAATTTCATCAGAACGCTTTTGCCCGAAGATGTCCAATTAGGCTATTACATCTATGACCTCACACGATATTACAAGGCGAAGCACCTTGCTAGGTCTAGACAGCTAAGCTCGCATTTCACGTGACAAATGAACAATAATTACCGTTGAGCAAGTTTCTTTGGTGCTGCTTGATGGCATAGCGGCGAGCCGGCCCACTTCTACCCTGCTTTCTGTGAAACATTGTTCATTTCGTTTTCTTCCTGGCGATAATCGCACACCGTCGTTAGGTCCGTAAGGTGTGTTGTTTTGTTAGACCTCGCCACTTTGTCCCATTCAAGGCATGCATCTTCGGCCCTGACGTTAGTGAGGTCCTTCCTCGTGATGGCTTTCCATCTTTTCTTTGAGCCTCCTCGCGGTCACTGGCCTTGCGTTTCGAGGTCAGCAGCTTTGTTCGTCGGGTGCTCCTGTAACCTCCATGGTACATGTCCATAGCATCGGTAGACCCCAAAATGTTGTACATAACAAGTAGGATTCCCCACGAAGTAATCGTGTCAAGCAAGGAATTAGTCCTTTCTGAAATCGAGGATCCACGAATGAGTACTTCTACCCCAGGTTTAGGCAAACTCTCAAAAGCGAACCTGTAGCGCGTACCAGGAACCCTGAGTTTAGCAGCTACTGATTTTGAAGTCCTATTCCTCAGAGGATCTCGTACCTGATAGTTTCATAAAACTTCCAAATGTAGCAAAAAACAACAATTTAATTGACTGACAACGTGAGTCACCAGCAATTCCTCTCTAAATCTCCATTGCGAAACATGTGCATGAGAGAAGATCGACGTAGATTAAATGACCTGATACAGGCCAATTTTGCCATATGAGCACACATACCAGATTGGCAATCGAGTAACTCCTCCCACTTCCTCATTTATTATTTTCCTGCACATTCCCCCTGAATGGCGAAGCGTAAACGAAAATGGACTTTGAGTATCTAAATAGTTGGAAGAGACAAGCGATAAAAATAATTCTTCATAAAATTATAGCCAAGACAGGGACGATGCAAACCCTCCAGCCACAACTCCTCGTGTACCTAATCGAGGGCTCGTCTGCAATTTGGGTTTATATTCATTTGTCTCCAAGTTATTTCTTGTTGGAAACCTCGGCACTATTGGTCGAACTGTTTGATTCTTCTGTGCCAAGCGAGGTTGATAGTTGGAACCTTTTATTGAATGGCCGACGTTTCGACTTCTCGTGGGACCTTTTATTGAATGGTCCGACGTCTCGACTTCTCGTCTTCTTCGGTTCTTGATTTTGCAAGTTACCCGACCAAGCATCTCTCCCTCTAGCTTTTCCGTCCTCGTGTTGAGAAACACCTCGGAATCACCCTGTATAGACTAAGAACTCACCAAAGGTTCCATCAGCACTACTGAGCATCTAGCTCACGCCCTGTTAGTAATGTTAGT